GGAAAGTGAGGAAACTCTTAAAAATATTCTCCAGGTAATCTCATAAAATGGAATTTTTAGGATCACAGCTAAGCACTCTGCCACTGTAACACCAAACAGTATCACAGGTACAAGTGCATGTGCTGCGTTAATCAGGACTTGCCAACAGAGGGAAAAAGCCGCTTTCTAGCAGATCTGGTGACAGACACCACAGAGGCTGCACCATGCACTAGCTCTACCCTTAGGTTCTGTTAAACCACCCAGGCTCCTTGCATCAACTTCAGGTTTTAGATAAGTCCCCATTCTGCAGTAAACACCACCACTCAGATCCCTTAGACTTACTTGACTGAAGGGTGAATATCAAATATAATCTGCGATCTTGGTGGGGCCCAGCCAGAAGATGCTCTTAGTTTGGAGATGAGCTTTATTTCTTCAGCCAGATTGATGCTGGACTCAAGCTCTCTTGGAATATCTTCTTTCAGTACAGACTATTGGGAAAGGGAAATTAATGAAGATGAACAGTCCACCAGCTCGACATACGTTAAATGCTATGAAACATCTCCCTTTATACCCCAGGATTTTCAAGTTCAGTTTTCATGTACACGTAGTCCCCCTCAGTTAAACTCCTTCGCATTGGTCTCAGAAGAAAGTACATACTGTTTGTTCATAACCATATACTAAATAATCTGAAAATTGCTAAACAGAGAATAAATTTTCTAAAAATTTATCTAAATTGAACTAATAAACTGTAAGTACTTGTCTGTACTTATTTTTTGTTTGAAATGCAGCTTCCCCCTTTCCTTAACAGTGAAGCAGCTGCAGTGAGACAATGATTATTTGGGGAACTGAATAAAGAGCCTGCTGTTTTCAGCTCAGACTCACCCTCTGCTTAGATGAGCTCAGGCAGCCAGACAGCTGAACTGCAGAGTCTGTCTGCAACCAGCGCTTTCTGAAAGCTCTGCACAACTCCTGGGCTGTTGCTTCAGCAGAATTGCTGCCTGGTTCAAAACACGACCTGAAAGGTAAGCAATGCTGACAAGTGAGAAATAGCAGCGTGTCATCAGCAGCTCCGCTGCCACTTCTGCACTCCAAAGAGTTTTCTCCCATCCCTTCATTCCTATGCCCTTGCTTTGATACACCCAGGCTCTTGCAGAGCCACAGCCACCACCCTCCAGCAAGACTCCAGGACCAGAGAAATGCTCTGCTAAGCCAAGCCCACAGATATTTGCTGTCAAGCAGCATTCCTTCCCCTTCCTTGGGAGGACCAAATTTACCACTCCCACACCTTTCCCCGCCCCAGCCCGAAGAGTCATCAGAAAGCTGGTCCAGCAGAAAAGGTAGTGCCAAAGGGCTATTATAGTAAGATATGTAGCATTACCTTTCATCTGGAACAACAGACAGATTCTCAAGGTCTTCAAGTTCTGCAATAAAGGAGAAAATTTTATCAAGCCATCTAAAAAACCAGTTTCTGTTACTCAGCATGGTTTTAAATCTATCTTCTGTGTTACCATGGTGCCAGTCTCAAATATATTGATCTTCACAACACCTCTGCTGGATGTGGGAAATAATCTCAGCCCTGGATGTAAAACAGGCCTAAGGAGTCTTCTCTCCTCTGCAGATCTCTGACATCTGCTGGTGAAGAGTACTCCCTAACAGCCATGGATCACAGCATCACCATCAGCCTCCCCTCAAGAGCAGGAGAATTTATAAGGAGAGATTCAGTGCCTGCTAGTTCAGGCCCAGCCAGAAGGCATTAGACAAATAATAATATACAGAGCCAATAGAGTACACATTATTTTTGTCAGATACTAACAGATATTTGAAGACACCGGTCACAAACATGCCAGCTAATGCTATGAACAAGTTATTAAGAGGCGAGATGAATGGAATTAAAGCACTTCATTATGTTTATATGGACAAATATGCTTATGCAGACAAGGTGTTCACATTGGTAACACTTGCTACTAGAAATGTAGTTCTAGGAGCTAGATATTAATTCTTAGATTAAGGAAAGTGGAAGTGAAGAAATAAGCTAATCTCTAAAACCAAAAGGAGCAATAAAAGTGCATTTGTTAAAATATAAAAATAACAGAGAAGTTAAATGTTGCTCAGGCTACTTTTAAGGGTTTCTATATTTTCTGTTTACATAAAAAAACCAGAGATAACTTGGCATTTCCTGAGGAGCAGAGCACTGATGACTATAAGGGGACCAAGACATTCTGCTCTAGTCCTGAAGCGGAGGAAAGGCTGCCTAAAAATGATCACGCCTTAGATTCTCTCAAGCAATGCTGCTATAGTTGGCTGAGGTTGTACCAGTTTCACACTTTGCTCACACACCTCCATTGGGTTTAATCTCTTTACATAATTTCAGTCCCTCAAACCAGCAAAAATATTCTTTTGTAGAAAGGAAATCCTGCACCAGTCTGATATTTCTGCATGTGTTCTAATAAGAAGTAATGCATAGATCATTCTTTCAATCTTCTCATGTTATTTTTCCTGCAATAACATCTACTAAGCCAATAGATTTTCCAAACCATGCAATAGATTCAGTTCAACAATGGCGCTGTTTCTGCAGTTGTAATATTAAAGTCTTACCGATAATTACATATTCGTCCTCCGAGTCACTGTGGCAATGAAATCTGGTAACCTCATGATGTGATGGTAGATGCCCTGGGGAGCTGACAGGCAGCAGAGTACAGCCTGTCCAGAACAAAGACAACAACAGTTAAACTTTTCCACCATTTATAGAGTAGCTGTAATTATATCTATAATTTTATTTTGCTTTTCAAAACTTAAGCATAACAATCTCTTTTTTTTTTTATTTTACACACACACACACAGAAAGCCAATTCTTGGTAGTTTGTCATACAGCATGTCCCTCAGCTGCTTATGAAGAACCTTCTAGGGACTAAAACAAAAAGGTTTATATTATCAGTGGTTTTTCCTCTTCTCATGTGCAAGCACACCACTCATTTTTTCCCTCACAAGTTATGTCATTTAGACTTCAGACTTAAGTTTCACCCCTAAGATCTATATTACTCAAGAGACTAAAATCTACTTAATAAATGCATTTGCTGACTCAAGCATTATAGTGCCAGGAGCATTTATTATCTTGCCTCAAAACTATATGTGATTGAATACTCTGGGCAGTTTCACTTAATTCAATTGTATGGCCTAATCTGCAAACTGCAGCAGCTCAGAAGGAAAAAGCCAGACTTCAAATCCAGTAAGAAAACGATTTAAGCAGAGAAAAAACCAGCCAACTACAGGTACGCTCTATGGAGGGTTGTGCTTGGCATGTGGCACTTCAGCTTTACACTTCCTTTTTCGTGTAAAAGAATATACTAAAACACAGATTTGAACATTCACATTCAAAAGGAAGAATCTGACCCACAGGTAAAACACTTGTAGCATAATAATCCTCAGGGAACACAGCTCTGTTGAGAGACTCGAAGAGGGTAACAGAGGATTCGGTTTCAAGTAATGCCCAAATTAATTTAGTATTTTCTTGCACAAAAATAAACAGCAAAGGCTGTCAGACAATGTTGCATTATAGACTAAGTAACTTGCCTTCATAACCACTGTCTGTAGAGGCAATAGAAGAATCTGACTTCTTCACTCCAGGGTAAGAAGATAACTCCAAATCAGTGTGATAGCTGTCATCTGATCCACTTGTTTCCTCCACAGCCCAGGACTCTCCTTGTTGGCTTAGGATATTACATTTCATTTTTTCTAGTGATGCTATAATCATATCTGCGACAAAAAAGTGTGCGTTTTCCTAGACGCAAGATTGGAGCACTTGTTAGTACACAGTACATTTGATATTTACTTAAGATGAAGTGAAATACACACTTTATTCCCCTGTACTTTTTCAATTCAGGAAACGAAAATGGAAGACTGACTCATCTTTCATTAAATGAAATGTTGCTTAAAGCAACAATAAAACCAAACAAAACCACCTCAAGGGTAATTCAGAGACAACATGCAAAAGGCAACTGCCCAGATAATTGTCTCACCCTTGATTAAAACATGCAATTTACTTTTATCTTACCTATTAGATAAAAAGAAACTTGATTACATGCCTAATGGATGAATATGTATGCATTTTAGGGATGTAGTCTTCTAGTTACACTGCATTATTTAGTATGCAAGTGTGAATCCATGTAACCCATAAGATCTAATTTCAAGTCAGTCTGCAGAAGCAGTTTGGCTCATATGCTAACATGGATGGGGCCAGAAGAGGCAGGTTTTGAAGGGACTGCAGATCTTCAGGTGGTGGATGGTACAGAAACTAGTGAAATGTTAGAGTTAAGGCAGTGAGATTGCTTACATGGGCAATTCAAGGCTGCATAGAAAGTCTGTGAGGTAAGTGAGAACCTAGCTCTCTTGGCGTTCACACTGCCTTAAATAACAGCTAGACGTTTCAAAACTTCACCATGGCATTTCCCTGCCAGACAACCGGTCCCCAGGGTGTCCCTTATCATCTTGTCTGTCCAGGTCACCCATCCTCTGGGAAAAGGGTATTTGTAAAGCCACCTCCAACACCAGACAGACGTGAGGCTCTCTACCCCAATGTCACTGCTGTATCCCTTGCTTCCTGTAGCCTAACAGAACATCCCACCTCTGCAACCACTGCTGGCCTGGGCACAGCTTCCCAGCCCAGGCTCAGCTCAGAAGTGGATACATCTTGTAAGATTAGGTGCACTGAAGTGCACGGATGGAAACCCAGAGATGCCCAGGATACACGTCCACTCTCCCCTCAACTGCACGTGTTCGCACTGAGCAAAGCTAAGCTTCCATCAAAAAAACCCCAACACGGCAGTATCTAAGGCTAGAGATTCTGAGTGCAGAATAATTAAAGCTTTTTAGAAAGTGGCTTATGCTCAGAAAATTGTACCACTCAACATCAGTATTCATGACATTCCCTACAACCTGTATGGGAAGTATGAAGACAGACATCAGCGTTCAGAAATAGCTAAATCTTAAAGAGCACAACAGACATCACTGCTTTCTTATTGTCTGCAGCAAAATGCATTTAGAAGATTAATCTTAATGTTAGAAAGAGCCCACAAGTCCCTCTGGGTGTCTGAAGAGACTTTTCCCTAAAACTGATTACCCCTTGGCGCACTGTTTTTGCAGAGACAGCTTTCAGTGGACTTCAGGACACACCATTAACAAAGGAAAGAATTAAACAGCCTTTTTGCTTTTTGGAAATAAAGAGGACATCTCCTACTTTAAAGTTTCAGAAAGCTTTTGTGGCAATGGTTAACCCCAAGTTAGTGGCAGAGCCCAGCACATCAGCATATCCTGCTGATAAAAACAATTATAAGCACATCCAAGAGTAGCAAAAAGAAAGAGGATCCAGGTACTCCTGTACTCAGCATGACTATCAGCTTTCAGCTTTGCCTCCTGCAAGGTCCATCTCCTCAGGAAGCAGACCCAGCTCAGCTGTGACACATCAACCTTCTCATTTCTCTTCCCTCCCACTCGCATCAGTGGAAAGTCCCAAAGATCATCTGCCCATCTCCTTCCTGGCACACAACTACAACTCTCAAGACCTGCTGACCCAAGTACTTCAGTTTCCAGTCTCCTAAGTTTCAAAGAGATTACTTCACTACCTAAAAATGTTTTGGGTTTTGGTTTGGGTTTAGTTTAGGATTTTTAATGGCAGCCTTGGTCATAATGGACTGAGCTCTTGGTACCTATTAACCTGTAATCACATCAACCCCCAATCTTCTGCATAAGAGAAGTAGCTGATGCGATCTTGTCTCACTCAATAGTTCTCAGACTGTGGTTTTTAATCCAGGTATCTACTCACTGGTTTCCTGGTGACTAAAAGAAAATTACTTTGGTTTTGGTTCCCACATTACAAACTGTGAAACAGCAGGTCCTTTCTGAAACACCTTGCACAAAAAGCAACATGAAAAGCTAGTTCACAATTTTGTTGTGTTTTGGTGTGTGATTTATTAGGTGGTTTGGTTTGGGTTTTCAAGTGCACCTGAGGAATGCTGAGACCTTCAAATCAAATGTAGGACTTGCCACTCCAGTGAAAATAGTGCTGTGCACAAAGATGACTACCACTTGGGCCCAAAACACGGGACCACATGCACATCCACAGTTCAAAGAAAAAAAAATCTCATTTTCTAGGCACATATTTAAAGCTCTTTTTTCTTAAATCCTACTCAATTAATTGTAACATTAACCCCTCTATTCCAACTGTTAGAAAATATTAACATTCAGCACACAGTTATGTGTGACAGCATCATCTTCTCATCTTTATTTCTGCTTATAAGCTGAAATGGGCTGCCTATCTGGCAACACACTTAAGACTGTTTGGAACTCTTATGCAAATTGGAAACCATGAGAAGCTGCTTAAATTACTGCAGATGTTACAGCTATAGTGATTATTATTCATATTTTAATTATTTTACAGCAATCTCACACATTCACCATAAGCACACAGAAAAAACCCTACCTCTATCTCTTGACAGTAAAAGCTCGACTTAAATATACGCAAGCAGCTGTAACAAATTCTACATAACATATTCTAACAACTTTAAAGTGATTATAACAATCTTAAAGTTTGGTCTCAAGGAATGTGTGGTAAAACAATGGAATGAAGTATACAGTATTCTAAAATATTTCCATTATTTTAAAATAATTAAAATATTTAATAAATTTATTAAGAGTAAAAAAAGAAAGAAACGGGCATTTTAGGTTTGTATGCTCACCCACAGAGGGCAAGAACAGGGAAAATACAGTATCTGTAAAGATTAGTCCATCTATCAGAAAGTTCTGTTATTGAGAAATGCCTCCTGTCATCTGATGTTGCCACTATAAAATGGAAAAAACATTACGAAAATAGTCTTTGTTGTCTCCTCACCTTCTCCACATCTTCCGGAAGCATGCAGATGTCCTGCAATGAACGATTCAATGGTACAGCATTTATGTTCAAGGAAGAAGTAGAACCTGTGGGTGCAACAAGAACTTACTAGTTATTTCGTTCTCTATAGCTCCTAGGATGTGTGCAGGGTGATTTCCAGAAAGCAAAGCAAACTTTCTTTCCCAAAACTGAACACCACTGAGGCTGGAGGTTGTGGTGGAAGTTTAAGGAGAAGGAGAAAGAAATGAGAGGAACACGTTGGCATTTGAACTACCCCAGCAACCTGAAGCAGGAATAGCAGCTACCAGGGAAATACAGTTTACACCAGCCCTTTCCCAGCTGCAGCCTGAGCTGCTGGGGACAACCATGGCCTGAACCACGGGCTGGGACTACAGTGACGCTCTGCAGTTCACAACACAGCCAGATAACACTGCTCTCCACTCATTCACAACAGCTGGAAGAAAAAGAAATCTCACTGCTGTCTGGGCACAGAGATGCATCAGCCTGAAAAGATTCCCTGAATCACTCCCAGTATTGTGTGACTACAGCAAGTTTGGAAAAAAACTTTGCCATTATGTTTCCATACCTCAAGGAAATCTCCCTCCTGTTGCCAAAATGCAATCCATACTGCATGGTAATATGAACAACTCTGGCAGATGCATTAGTCGCAGTACTCCCTGCTTCCCAGAATAGCAGTTCTGTTTTCCTGGCATTCGTTGCCAAGTCTGATGAGCATGTGAAACAAAACTTTTCACTATGCAGCAGAGCATGCATCTGGTTTTCTGTACATACGCTGTATCATAGATTACTTTTTATATATAAATATATTATATATATAT